CTTCTATCGTGGATTCTAGGTTTTCTCGGGGCACTTTACAGTACTTGGTTGTTTGGAAAGGTTACGGTCCTGCTGATCGTTCTTGGGTTTCGGCTCCTGACCTGCACGCGGGCCGTAAGATCCGCGCTTTTCACGCTAAATTTCCTCTCAAGCCTGGTCCTGTCCGCCCGGTGGGCGTTCTTCAGGTGGGGGGTAATGTCACATATTCATCCGCTTATAGAAATGTGGTTAATGACATTTACTGTCCACACAGGAAAAGTTGTGCCGAGCAGCAACCTAATCCACAGAAGGGTTAATGCTGAGCAGTAATTGTGCAAATGAAACCTGGTGTCATGTATTCATCCGCTTAGAGAAAAGTGATTAATGACATTTACTGTCCACACAGGAAAAGTTGTGCCGAGCAGCAACCTAATCCACAGAAAGGTTAATGCTGAGCAGCAATTATGCAAATGAAACCTGGTAACTGACTTTGGGGTCAAAGGCCGGTTACAACCTATCAGAACTAAAGGAGGGGTATTTAGGCCCAGTTCTCAGCCTGCTCAGTGCCCTGTCGTGGTTTCCCTTGTGGTTGTCTGAGAGCGCGTTCCTGTTTATAGTTTTCTACCTGGTTTTTGACTTTGGCTTTGTTTATTGACTTCTCTATATTCTGGTATCCTGACTCCTGGCTTTCCTCATCGCTGTGTCCCTTTCTGTGTTCCCTGACCTCGGCTAGTATTTTTGACTATTCTTTGTACGTTAAATCCGGCCATTCTAAGGACCGGTAATACGTTACTTATTTGTCATCCGTGCTGTACAGTTCTACGTGCTGGATCAAACAGTAATCCTGACAAGGGCCTAGTCTCCATGTATGTGTGGTGATGGCTTAGTTAGGGCGAGGTGGGGAGTGTGATATATCTGTGCCCTCCCTTTAGCAGGGGGGGGAGGGGGTCGTATCTCCTCTGATTAGCTGTATGGTCTAGCACTCCTAGGGTTTTGCGTAGGTCCACGTTTTCTGATGTGGGTTCACGTCCCTGTGCTGGCTGTGAATGGTGGGGGCGCCATTCGCGATTGTTCCCATTGACAGTCTCGTGTCCCCTCACGCCATGTCCCAGTTTACCCCCCTGTAAATTCCCCTCCCCATCAGTCCTTCTCGCTATCTTTGCCTTCCTTTTCATCGGGGTGGTGGGTCTGGGGCTTTATGGTGCTATAGAAATTTTTTATTGTGGGGGGGGGAATTAGCTGTAGTGATGTCCGTTAGGTCAATCTGTCCTGGGGTAAGCACTTATATTCGTCCACTACCGGGGGGACACCCTCCCAAACCTATGCTAGAGCCCGGCAGTCCCATTGTCAGTGTACTTTTTTTATTTTTCTCCGTAGTCTGTTGTACAGTCTGCTCGTTTCTCAGTTCTGGGTGTCAGCAGTCGGTGGTGGTTTGAGAGCGTGGGGCTCACGGAAGCGGTCTTGCGGTGTCAATTGGCGGATAGTCATTCCTCTGTGCCAGTCAGGTCCACCTGGCGGTTCTGTGTAGGTCCTCCGGGGGAAACAGGGTTAGTCTTGCCTATTACTGTAGATTCTTCTTCAGACTATGGGTTCTGAACAAGCCCTGTCTCATTCAGATCCTTTTCTTGGGCTTGATCCATTTCGAGTTTGTCACGTTGCACCAAGTCTGACTCTTTGAATTCCACTTGAGGATGACAGGACCCGGGGAAACAGGAGACTAGAGACAATGATCTGGCAAGGAGTGAGGGGAGAAACCAAACTATATAGGTGCTAAACAAGGGCCAGGTGAAGTGCTTAACGAAAAGAAATGAGAAACGGTGCCAAACAGAAACAGTGGTGAGTGTGAGTGCTGTACGAGGGCATATTATTCAAGGAGTGTCGTGACAAATACCCACCCACAGATCAATACTCAAGCCTCATTTTTATTATATTTAGAATGGGAAAAGCACAATCTTCTACTAAAGCCAACACATGATTTGTGAACAAAGGGAATAAAAGTGTAGTTAGGTCCTCTATCCTGCTACACACATAGACAAATGATTAGTAGTTCTGCCACAATGTCCTCTTTCATAACTTTCATAGTATTACATCTATATAGGTGTATTTGTATACACATTTTGGCTATTAAAATTATTTATTTTGATTGTGGTTGAAAATCAACAGCTACCAGGGATTGGAGTCTGGCTTTATACATTCCTAATTTAAAAATGTGAGTGTTAAATGAACACTATAGGGTCAAACACAAATATGTATTCCTAACTATTCGGTGTTAAAAAACACTATTTGGCCCCTCTGCCCTCCCCCACCCACTCCCTCACCCCCCCTAAATATAGTAAAATCTTACCTTTATTTCCGTCTGCTGCAGCTGGCTTTGCCCGATCTGCCTGCTTGGCTGACATCATCAAAAGTGGTGATCTGAGCCAATAACAATTATTTCCCAAAGGAAAGCAGTGAATTGGCTGAGCTTGTCAAGGAGGTAGATCAGAGGCAGAGCCAGCACAAGCCAGACACAGCCTGGCCAAACAGCATCTCCTTATAGAGATGCAACTGAATCAGTGCATCTCTATGAAGAAAGTTCAGTGTCTCCATGCAGAGGGTGGAGACACTGAATGGCAGTGCTGCACACTATGAAGCCCTGTCCCAGGAAGCATCTCTAGTAGCCATCTGAGGAATTGCCAGTGGAGATATCCCTTGGCTGTAATGTAAAAACAGGTAAAACGAGGGGGCAGTGCCTTGTTGTAGTTCTTGAGGTAGTAGAATATGTGGAGACAGAAAATATAGCAAGATATAGTGTAGTATATGCATACAAACAAAGGAGGATACAGCTGCAGATGTACAATATGTACAATATGAATAAAAAACAAATAATAGTGTAACACTGTTAAATGAGTGTAAATGCGCTATGTAGAATATCACTCACTAGAAGGATGAAAGAAAATCGCCCAAGGGTGCCTCCCCTGATGTAGATGGGGGGTAAAACAATCCTCCAGTTCAGAAGGTGTCTTCTTATTTTAAAGTGATGTAGTGCTAATAATCTTCATCTGGATACAGAAGGTCAGGATGATATCAACCCTGCCTTATGGGCTTTGCGCTATGACACTTTTTTTTTTTTGTCATAAATTGTATTTGCTTTTGTTCATATTACACTGTACAATGCAGCAATCAAGGCGCTGTTACATAGATCAATTGTTGACACATAAGATTTACATTGTATAACGATTATCAATCAGTGGTACTCTTATTCTCATCTTGGCCTCTATACAGCTCACTCTTTCCTAGTAGTGTACAGGTAGATAAAGAAGAAAAAAAAGAAATTCTTATTTATTCTTAACTTAGTAACAGGGTGGTATGAGACTCCAAGGGGTGAAACTGAGTAGGGCAAAGGAAGAAAGAAATAAAGAGAAAGAAAGAAGGGGGTTGGGGTGGTGAGGTGGATCCACATGCATACAGTCTATGTGTAACATCCAGTATTGAAAACATCATGTTAACCTCTTAACATTTAAACCTGTTGTTTATGGACACAGCTGCCCACAACGGTGGGTTACATCCAACTTGTTATCGTATATGATTTAATCAAGTGGGTTTTGTCTCCTATCGCAAGGAGGAAAGCCGTGGGTGTCAAATATCTAAAGACCATTGTTCTAGGCATCTCTTATCTTATCATTCTTAGTATATTACGCCCATTTTTCCTACGCTTCTCCCCAGAAACTTTTTAGAGGGAGCGCTTTTCGTGCCACCCGTTCATAATTTTTTGTGGTTTCTAAAATATCTATGCAGGTTTGCAGCCAGGATCTGCTTATTGCTATTAATGCTGCAATAATTATGTGATAAATTAGATATGAATCTGATTTGGATAGTTTTACTGGGAAGAGATGTAGTAGATAGGTTGTAGGATTATGGGGAAGGTTATGCCCTGTGCTATTTTTTACTGTTTTAGATACCTGTGCCCAGAGGTCTGCGAGTACAGGGCACGACCACCATATGAGGAGCATGGTACCGCAAGCTCCATGGCACCTCCAGTAGTTTTTCAATATTGTAGGATCAGCATGATGCAGTCTCTTTGGCACCATGTACCATCAATATAAAATTTAACGAGTTAGTTCGATGTGATTAGTGCACAGTGTAATCTTTTTATGAGCTAAAATGATTCTCGACCATTTTGCCTCTCCCAACGTGAGGTTGAGTTCCTTCTCCCATGCTATCATCAAACTTGGTCTCACTGCTGGCTTGACATTTGATTGCATGTTGTATAACCTAGATATTAAGTTTTTAGGTGAGGATGGTTGAAGATGTTGTCCATTTATATATACACGTATATATACACATGTGTATGTGTATATATATATATATATAGATATATATATATATATAATAATTCTACGTATATATTTATGTAATAATTTTTACCTAATTAGGTCTGTAATAAACGTTTAACTCGCAAGTTGGAATAAACTTGGAATTAATAATAACATTAATAACTAAAAATAATAACTTAAAAACCGAGTGTAAAGTCAGAGTCCACACTCCTTGCTTTCGGCAATTCAATAATATTTATTAATAAAGGCTTAATCAAACAAATAAACAATACATATACATTTGAAATAGGCTAGTATATGTTGCTACTAAAACTAACATTGACTGAATGGAAAGTAGGCTAAATTAACATAGTAAAACAGGCATAGACACGTGATACAGTTACCACTCCATTGATCAGCAGCTGAGAGTAAGAGAGAGAGGGTGTGTATAGTGGGGAGAGGGGAGAGAGGAGAGAGAGGTGAAGAGAGGTAATTCAAAGAGAGAGAGATGTGCTATTCACAGGGCTTTAAACAGGTTAGCCCCTCCTTCTGCTGGACACACCTCCCTTAGTCAATCCCTTAGGATGTAACAGAACCAGAGTGCCTCCTGGGGAAGGGGTATTGCATTGGAAGGGAATGGAGGAGGAGTTTATCAACAACCCAACTGATTTTGCCTGGTGAAAGGCCATGTGCTTCACAGAGGACTCCATTATTGCCTAAGGGTAGAATGGGGGCTTGAATCCCTGTATTAGAACACAATAACACTTCATTGGCATACAGTTTGGCTGTTAATCACATCCCCCCACTTATTACATCCCTCCTATTGGCAATGAAGTGGATGAGACACTTAGACTCTATAAAACCCACCAGAGATAAGAGAGAGAGATAATGCATCCTGCAGTGTATCTACTTATGTGAATGCACAACCCATTGTCACAATAGAGCTCTTTCCATTTACATATCATATTGGAGATGATATACTCTAACAATCAATGACTTCAAGTAACAACACATACCAACCTGATTAAAAATGCATACTACAGAAAACACACAATACAATAATAAATGGGTTAATTAATACATTTTCCATGGCAGTACCCCATGATGATTGGTTTTGGAAGTGAGTTTTTTTTTTATTTCTTCCACCAGGTAGTACTAGCCATGTCAGTAAATAAATGTTCAGTTAGTTAAAGTTCTTGTTGTTGATGAAAGAACTCAGCACAGGTTTGTTGATCCTTCTGTGTCCAATCCTCCATTAAAGTATTGATAGTTCTCTGAATTTAATACCCTCAGACTGGAGTGTTGCAGTCATACTATATATATATCAATTATATTTACAAAACCCAACCCAGTACTCCCAGAACCGTACCCAAGACAACCCTCCTATTCCTAGTTCTACTTCTTGTCACCCATCTGACTAAAACCTTATTAATAGTGGATGTGACCCTAGAACAGTTCTGAAAGTGTGATGAAACTAGCCAATCTGTTAGTCGAATCAATTGGAAAGTAACATTCCTAATTATAGAGGTAGGTCTCAGTGAACATATTTGGAAATTACCACTAGAGACCACTCTAATCCTCTGACACTCAGGTCTGCTCCCATTATCCATTAGTGAAGGAGTTGTATGAATATAGGTGAAAGGAGGAGTCAGGATTGTAGGCTCTATCTCTTCCTCTACATTCAACAAGACCTTCACTTCCCCACCCCTATTGTGTCTTACTGTTCCCCAATTATCCCCTTTAAAATTAATGTATCCACTATAATTAGTATTATATGATACTCTCTAAGATTGCTGTTAACATTATAACTAGGGTCAGTAACATTTCATAACATTTCAATTCATATTAATATTTCCTCCCTCCAGATCTACAACCCAATTTCCCCAATCAGTCCATAAACATTCCCAATGTTCTTAATTTCCCTTATTGTCTTTTCCAAAATCCCTTGAAAGAATCATGTTGCTTTAACCAAACAATCTTGACCACCCACCCAAAATTAAATGTCACATCTACATATGGACTTGTAGATTGTCACTGCTGTCCTCTGTTAAGTCTTTGGTAGATCGAGCTGCCTTTGTATAGATACAGCTGTTGTTGCTTTGGCCTGTGACAAGCTGTTCCATCACTTTCCAGGTGAGTTTTAACATGTTGAGTGACATCCATGTCTCGGTACTTTTGGAAAAATCTGTAAGAGATCAAGAAGGCGTATCAGTTCTTAGCAGATAACTCTGCATCTGGGGAACAAGCCCCTTTATATAATTTACGTTGGTCTACATGGACTGACTTGTATAGACCTTTACAAATGTTTTGCCCAATGTTTCTAGGATTACATAGGGCTCTTCCCAATTTGCATCCCAGGGATAATTTTGATAAAATGTTTAATCTTTATTACGCCTACCCCCCCTTTCTCAAACAGAGTTTGAGGAGTAGATACAATTTTACAATTTTACAATTTGTTGGGGCCATATATGAGACCCCCCTTGGACAGTGTAAGTGCACCTATGAAATCATTCTGTATTGACTTCCAGGGGCTGTCTGAAACTGGCACTCTCTGATGCACAGGCCTTTGTTGCTTAGGGCATGGATATACTTTAACATAACAACCCTTCTTTTATAGAATGACCACTTTGCAGTGTTTGATGGTTCTGTAATAAAAGAGAAAGATTAGAATTCCTATTCAGTTCTGCTTTTACATCTGGCACTTCTGAACCTTGATCAACAATCTTGGCTATCCGTAATTAGTTCTTTGCATGTGAAGTGCTCCTCCCATGCTTGTTGTATCTCAGGGTCTTTTACATGTAAATGCCATTGATCTCCATCTAAGACAGCCTCCTTTGCTAACAAATTCAATTGTACATTTGAATGAGTGTTTACTGCTGACTGGAGGGGGTGCTTTAGTCCCCATCCAACCAGTTTCCCAAGATTCCATAGGGACAGACAGTTTGATCTGGTGACACAAGCAATGTCACTATGGATACAAATAGGGCGTGTGCCAAATTCCTTTGAAAAAAAATTACAAGTCCCCCAAAAAAATACTTCTTCAAGGATTGCTTGTTAAAAGGTCTGGGGACTTGTAAGATTGCTATCACTCTTTAATTGGGCAGCTGTGATAGCTACTCCCAAAAATGTTACCTTTTGTGTGAGCAACCTTTGAAGTGTTTAGCTTAACTCCAGGATTTTGCAATTAAGCCAAAAAATTCAGTTAAAAAAAAATTCATATGTTGTTGTTTTGCCCCAGAAGGGAGACTTAGTGATAGGTCAGTAAGTCTCACTGAAGCTCCTGTGTTAGTCCAATTCTTAGTCTGTTGCTATAATTTCATTCACGTAAGGGCGTCCTGCATGGTCCATAAATGTGGGAACCATGCCATCCAGTTATAGTTATTCCAAAAATGAAATCAGAGGAACTTCACCCTCTTCATTCATTTTAGAATTGCTAGTCACTGTTCCCTGTACAGTCATCATTCTCAGAGCCTCCCGCGCAGGACCGTATAGATTGGTCTTAGGCAGGGGGTGAGAATGGCGTCCCTGACCTGTTTTATCCGGGGGTTTATTTCGGTCAATCTTTTCATATACATTTTGACCTATTCTTTCTTTGAAAGGCCCAGAGGGATAAGCATGCCATCCCTCAGTCATCCTTTGATCTATCTTTGCCTTTCTACACTCACTCTGTCTATGACCACTTCTGTTGCAGTAATAACAAGTCCCTCTGAATGGAATCTCTGGGAGAGCTTGCCTCCCTTCATTAGTAGCCATAATTGCAATATTGTGATGTCCTGTGACACCTTTCCTAATTAAATTTTGTCTAGCTTTTCCTATAATAGTTAGAACACCTTCCAGAGTGCCTTTTTCCTCTGCTATCATTTGCACTCCGGGATCTAAATAAGTGAATTTTTTTATCAGGTATTGCAGTAAATCAGGAGGGGTTTGGTCTTGTGGTATACGGTGGGTTAATCTGTACACTTGTTCAAATTTAGATGCAAAAACCCAAGGATCATCCTGTAAGTGTACCTTCATTTCAGCGAGTGAATGACTGTCTAAATCTCTTTCTCCAGTAATCAATTTGGAGATTGCTCTAAGCCTGTCTCCTTCTGTCCCCCATTTTTCTTCTTTGAACCAGTCTTGATCCCGATTAATGGGCCCATTTATGGGGGAATTTAATCTGCATGCAATGCTGCTTGGTGCCCACATTTTAAGCATAATACATGCCTCTTTAGGAGAGAGCATATATTGTTTGACTGCAGATTCAAAGTTGGACATGTTTGAAATTACATCTATTTTGCAGTCATATGGGGGGAAAAGGGATCTTAACTTAACAAG